CATTAATACAAATTAATGAACTTATTTTTTAAAAATGGGAGAGCTGCTTTCCTATATATTCTGAAGTTGAATTCACAGTTCACTAGTTGTTTTCAAAAAAGACCAACAGTTTCTTTTTACTGTTTTTAACAGTTCTGCAAAATCACTGAAAGTTCTCAAATGCGGTTTATGGATGTGGGAAGCACCTCAGGCCTCTCCGCATCGAAGGGGCTCCCATCTCACAGATATACGCTAATTAGAAAGTGTTCTTTTCTGAAAAGATCAAAATAGCAAGAAAGAAGTGTGAAGAGTTGGTGAACAGGCCTGTTCAGACAGTCAATTAAAAGGTCTGCTACTGAGCAGCTGAGGCATCTTAATGCCTTTTTATAGCACAAGTTCAATTTCCAGCCCCAGGTTTAATGCTGAGACCTGGCAGGTAGCAGCTCTGGAAGCTCAGTGCATCGAGTAAGGACTGTTGTCAGAAAGGTCAGCTCCGGGGGGAACAGAGATGGAGCACAGAAATAGATGTCAGCGGATGGTACTGGATCGATGACAGATACTAGGAGGGTTGTGCGCAGAGGTGATGCGGGTGGGGCTGTTCTCACACACACACCGGAATCCAGAAGATGGATGGGGAATAAAATGAAAGCTATACCTTTTTCCTCCTGGGCCACCACCTCATCTTTCTTGGATTTTAGGTCCTGAGATGTCTGCTCTGGCAAGATGTCATCTCCCTCTTTTATAGGCACGTCTAAATTAAGCAGCAAATCTAGTTCTTCTTCCAAGTGGTCTGCTGCTGGCTGCTGTGGGGAAGCAGGCTTCTGAGTACCAGAGGGACCCGGCCTTGGGCTGTCTTTGCCCAGGGACATGGGGCAGCCAGCTGTAGCAGATTTCAGCTCAGAGATGGGCCCCCTTCCTCCAGGACCGAAGGGCCCCGTCAACTGCATTCCCAGTCCTTTGCCATCATCATTTATCCTTGGTTTCACTTGAGGAAGCTCTAAAGGAACTGTAGTCTGAAAAGGAAAACAGTGTTTAAAAATGTGTCTTGAGGCAAGATGGCATAATGGTTACATCGCTGGATTCCCACGTAGTCGACCACGGTTCAAGTCCCGGACCTGGAGGGTTAAACTCAGCCATGTGTACGCCCCAAAACTCAAAAGAATAGAGGAGAAGGGATTGCGGCGTGACCATCCCCTCTGGGGGGTGACTTCTCGCTTTCTGTCTCTCTGTCTCTCTCTGTCTGTCTGGCGAGCGCACACGCCCTATAGCGAAACCCTCTCCAAAAAAAAAAAAGAAGAGAGGAGAAGGGATTGCGGCGTGACCATCCCCTCTGGGGGGTGACTTCTCGCTTTCTGTCTCTCTGTCTCTCTCTGTCTGTCTGGCGAGCGCACACGCCCTATAGCGAAACCCTCTCCAAAAAAAAAAAAGAAGAGAGGAGAAGGGATTGCGGCGTGACCATCCCCTCTGGGGGGTGACTTCTCGCTTTCTGTCTCTCTGTCTCTCTCTGTCTGTCTGGCGAGCGCACACGCCCTATAGCGAAACCCTCTCCAAAAAAAAAAAAGAAGAGAGGAGAAGGGATTGCGGCGTGACCATCCCCTCTGGGGGGTGACTTCTCGCTTTCTGTCTCTCTGTCTCTCTCTGTCTGTCTGGCGAGTGCACGCGCCCTATAGCAAAAATCTCTCTTAAAAAGAGAGAGAGTCTTGTGATATTTGCTTAAATTGAAACAAAACACCAGGAGGCTAAGGAAGCCATCAAACTTTGTGGGGTAGGAAATCAATTCAGATGGTTAGTTCACAAGGTCTCCCTCTGGAGCCCTCTCCAGGCACCCTTCCTGATTGATTTGGGATTAAAGGTGGGAGATCACACTGACACATGATAGGAACATGCCTCCCTCTGCCCACCTCAGCTATGGACTAGCTAACTAGCACAGAGTTGGAATTAAAAGGCTCATGTCTTTTTTTTTTTTTTTTGGAGAGGTTTTCGCTACAGGGCGCGTGTGCTCGCCAGACAGACAGAGAGAGACAGAGAGACAGAAAGCGAGAAGTCACCCCCCAGAGGGGATGGGCACGCCGCAATCCCTTCTCCTCCATTCTTCTCTCGGGACCTTGGGCATGTACGCACACGTGCCTGGCGTGAGTTTTAAGCCACCGGGTCCAGGACGCGAACCGCAATCGACTGTGGGAATCCAGCGACATAGCCATTACGCTAACTGCTGGTTCCCAAAGGCTCATGTCTTCTTAGCACTGGCCTGAAAGTCGATAGCATCATAGGTCTATTTGAATTTGTACTGAAATTCATGATGTGACAGGGACACCCACAAATGGCACCATGAAGTAATTAACGAAGCAGATCTGTTCACTGTTATCGAAATGCACTAACATAAAGGTGTAGGAACAAATTCGCCAAGAACAAAAGAATGACTGCAACATTGAGTAAAAAAATAAAAAGCCAAACATGAAAGAAAACACTCATTTGATGACATTTGTAAAGTGTTCAAAACCAAACCAAACTGTAGCACTGGAAGTTACTACAGTGGTAGGTTACCTTCTGAGGTGGCAAGGACCAGTGGAGTGTGAGTGGTGTTTTCTGGGTGCTGGTAAGATTCTGATTCTTGCTTCTGGATGTCAATTCCCTGGTTAGAAACATTTCTGTGTGCACGTCTCCATATTTGCATGACGTTTTAACAGGTAAAAGCTCCCAGGTGACAGTAATGTGAGATTACAATCCAAGGCGGAACAGCACTGCTCTAGAGAGACAGCTGGGGGGCCTGGCACGCACTCCATGGAGCAGCACTGCTCTAGAGACAGCTGAGAGGCCTGGCGCCGCACTCCATGGAGCAGCACTGCTCTAGAGACAGCTGAGGGGCCTGGTGCCGCACTCCAGTGCACAGGTTCAGAATGAGGCTAGACCTCTGCTAGGGGCGCTGACCCCGAATTTTTATTTTGAAGGATGATGGTCAGATCCAGTTTGCTAACACCTCCTCTCAGGGCTTTTCTAGATACTCAAGACAGGACAGCTTTATACGGAAACTGTCCCCTGCACAGGGCCATGCTGGGAGGTGGTCCCTATTCTAATCCTAGAATCTGCTCTTGACGGAGTCATTGCTTTTGCGTTGAATTCCCCAGGAGATTCAAACGTGCACATAAGGTTGAGAATAACTGTTGGAAAACATGGAGTGGGGAAGGATTGTTTTTACACGACTTACTCAGGTTTTCTTAAGTTACTGCAATTATTTTATACCTTTAATGCTTGCTACTGAGACAGCATCCTACACTTTGAATTGCTCACACACGTCCCCGTCCCTCCTGGGGCTGGGAGCCTTCATCTCAGCATTCCCCTGGTGTGTTCTGTTAAAGAGTCCTCATCGTGTAGGATCAAACCAAACACTAGAGAACTTTGAATATCACTGGACACCCACCAGGAAAAGCTTTGCTCTTCCAAATACCCAAACCAGTCTCAAGGCGCCCCAGGGTGTTTGCACATCAGAGGTGAATGCAATCCTTTCTACATCATCTACTGAATAGTTCCCTGCTCTGTTCCTGTCTTCTAGCCCTAAGATCTGCCTGCTGTCCCCACTTTTGACTAGTGAGTGCCACAGAAACAGCAGTCGGGCCAATGACCAATTCCTGGCTACACTCGAGCTCAGGGTCACATCCGCTGCAGGAGGAAGCTGATCATGTTGGTTGGTAGCATTCTATTTAAATAAGTGCTGCCAGGGGTTCACTCTCTCATTATTTTTTTAATGTGATTTAGCAACGATTAAGCTTCAAAGTTTATCATATTACAGTGCTTGGGTCTCCTCTGCTCCTGTTGAATTAATCAATAGCCACCTCATCCTGATATCTTCCAGATTTGTATTTCTGTCCCTTAATTCTACAGTATAAATATCTACATGCAATTGACTAATATTCCCACCCTGAGATCTCAGAGGCACACACTTATAACATCCAAACTTCACTCTGACACGACCTACCACTGAAGTGCACAAGCTAGAAAGCCTGGGCCCTTCCTTGATTGCTCTCTCTCCGTCTCCAGTATCTCTCTAGTTCCTGTTAATTTTACCTTTGAGACACCTCTCAGTAGAAGCCACTTGTCCGTCGCCTCCCCTCATCTGCCCTGCCGTAGCATGGGCGAGCACGCGTGGACTCACCATAGCACACGCCCAGGCCAGTCTGCGCTGTGCTCTCCATCTGCAGCTAGGTGTCCCTTGTCATCATCGTGAACACACGTGGGCTGAGTCACTCACCTTTGAATTCCAGCTCAAATGTTCTTATACTTTAGATCCCAGCTTCTCTAGCAGTTCTTGAGGAAAGCCACTCCTACCCACACCCAAAGAGAAGGTTTATGATGGCCTACCCTCACAGCACACTGGACTCCTGTGCATGATGCTTTGATTACTATTCTTTTTCCCCAGAGAGTATGCTCTGAGAAGGCAGGAACCATGCCTGTCTGCTCACCAATGTGTCCCCAGTAGCACAGAGTCTGGCATACAAGGATTCTGACTGAAGTAACAGTCAGACTTTGTATTTCATGTTTCACTCAATCCCATTACATTTGGTCCTCAAAATACAAATATAAATATGTGTTTCAAATTAAAATATAAAGAGTGAAAAATTATTTTATCATAAGGCACACACACTTGCAGAGACAGAAATGGTGAGAGGGAAAGTGAGAAATCATTCCCCAGAGGGAGGGCCACACCATAATCCCTTCTCCTCCAGTCTCCTCTCGGGACTTTGGGCATGCATGCACACATGCCCAGCATGATTTTCAAGCCACCAGGTCTGGGACTCGAACCACAGTCAACCATGTGAGAATCCAACACCTTAACCACCACATCATCTTCTGACCCCAGACCTCCTTTAAACTATATGAGATGCTAGCTTCACGTGAGGGAACCAGCAGTTAGCGTAATGGCTATGTCGCTGGACTCCCACGTAGTCGACCGCGGTTCGCGTCCCGGACCCGGTGGCTTAAAACCCACGCCGGGCGCGTGTGCGTGCGTGCCCAAGATCCCAAGAGGAGAATGGAGGAGAAAGGATTGCGGCATGGCCATCCCCTCTGGGGGATGACTTCTCGCTTTCTGTCTCTCTGTCTCTCTCTGTCTGTCTGGCGAGCGCACGCGCCCTATAGTGAAGGACCTTTCAAAAAAAAAAAAAAGAGAGATGCTAGCTTCACGTGAGACTTTCAGCTTTATGAAAGGGAAATCTGTGATATCCTACAGAGAGATGCTTCCCCCCGCCCCCAACTTCTCCAGCCCCAGCCCACACCAGCTTAAAGATGCCATCAGGGTTTTACCTGGATCAACTCGGCAGCAACGTTCAGTCGAACAGACAGAGGCAGTTCTTGCAGGGCTCGGACCAGTGACTCGCTATCCACGTAAAATGCTGAATTCTATACATGTGTTTTTGAAAGAAATAAAACATTAAGGTGATGATTAAGTATGATCATTTGGAAATAAGAAAGAAGGGAGGGAGGCAGCTCATAAGTCACACCCCATGTGCCCACATTCAGATCAGCAACACCAGAACCACCTTCCTGAGCCACAGCTCACAAGTCAGAGCAGCAGGGCAGTGATTCCCTGCACGTCGAGACTGCTCAGTAACCTGCAAACCATGGAGGTTTTGGCCATTACTGGCAAGCTGAAAAATATAAGCATTTAATGAAATCTAGCTGGACACCGTCTCTAAATACAGACTGCCAGCCTTGGGGAGAAGAAGGGAGAGCTGTTCAGACAGTGAGGTGGCTCTGACCGGTGTCGCAGAGGGCATGGGAAGGTCGACTTATCTTTGACAGAGCAGAGAAGGACACCAACGCTGCCTGGCCTGTAGTGCTCTGGGTGAGGCCAACACCAAGCACTTCCTTTGATGTTTTCCCCTAATAGTAGTAAGGTCCTATCAATGCATTGAACTTACAGACTGGAACTATTTGACCCTAGGACCAGACAATCCTATGGTCCCCAATGATTATTTCTCAGTGTCCTGGCCACCCAAGAAAACCCAAACTCTACAAGGTGATCACAATGACCTCACACTCAGAGACATACACCATTGACCATCTAACCTGCCAAGAACTGTCACAGGCCCAGCTGGGACCAGGTCTTACCCTATAATCACTGATTCAAGTTGGAAAAAGAAAAAGAAAAAAAAAAAAAAAACAAGAGGTCATCCAGTTTAATTGCTACTCCAGTGCGGGAATCTCTCAGGTAGACAGGTTCATGATGACAGAGACAGACTCACTCCTGGTGGGCTCACACAGAGCCCTGCCAACAACTCCAGACCCACTCTAGCCACCAATCCATATATCATTGGTAGATGGGGATAAAAAGAAATGATTTGGCCTTCTAGATACCCTTTTAAAACTGTCCTGAGATGGCCAGGTCTGAAGTAAATTACCCCACAGAACCCCTCGCCCTGAAAAAAGGAATTTTATTGGATTTTCGCACAGAAAAACAGAAAAATATGTCATGACTTTTCCAAAAACCCAATATATCTAAAAACTTTCGCATATTCGAGGAACTCCTGGGATGGAGAATAATGAAGCCCTGATATAACGCAGGGGAAATTTGGCCTGTGTCAGGTGTTCGTTCCATAGCCCTGAACACAACAAAGTGCTGTCATCAAGACCGGCATGCCCAGGTCTCTGTTCTCACGTTTGGAAAAACCTCTCTGCCCCTGCAGTTGTGCTCCTGAACACTTAACCCATGGGAAAGGCACTGGGTTCCAACTTGGAAATTTCGCTCTTCCCACTGCCGAGTGTCTGCAAAGTCACACTGCGTAGATCTTCCCAACTACGAGAGTGAGAACCCCATCTCGGTGATTCCTGATCATCCGCTTGTTTCTCTCTGAGCTCTCTGGAGAAGGACTGTTGATGTGTGCCTCTGTGGTCCAGCAAAATGTCCAAATTTCCTCTGCCCTCTTTTCTATCAGATATATCAAGGTGTATTGTAGGGAAGGGCAAGTTTCTGAAGCCAACAAAGATCCAGGGAACGGCCTGCCAGTGATTATGAGCCATGTTCTGAATGCATGGGGTTTGGCTGGTCCCCCACCAGGACGCTGTCATCTGCATTTCTGATTCCCGGCAGCCGTCCAGTGCCCAGTAGACACCCACTACCTCCAAATGCCCTCACACCACTTCCCATTGCAGCAATCTCTCCTTGTCTCCTTGCGGGAGTCTTGGAGCCTAGAACCTGCCACCAAATACGACTCTGTAAGAAGATTTTCTGTTTCAGGTCACCAGTTGTCCCATAAAGGGCTAAAGCGGATCGCCTGAGATATAAAGTTAGCTGGAGCGAATTGGTTATAATACCAAAGTGTGGATTCTAAAAATAGGTTTAATCACAATAATAACCATGAATTCGTTTTTTTTTCTTCATGTTTTAAAATAATTGGTGGGGGGCCAGCAGGTGGTATCGTGGTGAAGGCGCTGGACTCCCACATGGCTGACCATGGTTTGAGTAACAGACCTGGTGGCTTGCTTTCTCACTCTCCCTGTCTCTCTCACTCTGTGTCTTATAATAAATAAATAATTGTTTTTAAAAATAATAATTGGTGGGTTATTTTTGCCTGGAGAGCTCAGCTCCCATGTCTGACAGTCACTGGCAGATGGAATGGGCAGCAGAGTCTACACCTGGCCACTGACAGGACCAGCTACACCCATTGAGAGCGCTGCGAGCAGTGGGGTAGACAGACATCCTGAGGCCTTCTCCCTGAATTCTTTGAGGCCGGGAAATGGAAGCCAGCCTTGACTGAGAGAACAAAGTCCCTCCACCCCACTTCTCTATCTTTGGTGTGCACAGAATCCTGCCTCGGTGGTAAAAATCTAATCCTGAAGGTTCCTCTCTGGCCAGCAATCTTACCAGACTCTGAGTCCCAGCCTCTTGGTAAACACACACACACTAGTGAGAAAAAAAACCTCATGTACACTCCACTTTGCAACTAAAATGTAGCTTTTATTCAGATATATACCCTCCTCAGGGTCTATACACTACTTGTTTCTGATCCTTATGGCTCAAGGATCAAGTATACACTGAATGCTAGAAGTGCCCAGGAAAGCACTTTGGGAATAGGCTAGGAAACTTTTTAAGACACAAATCTGGGGGTCAATAGGTGGTATGGTGGTTAAGGCACTGGATTCCCACACGGCCAATCACAGTTCAAGTCTCAGACCTGGCATCTTGAGAATCACTCCAGGTGTATGTGTGTATGTGCCCAAAATCCCAAGAGAAGGGGACATTGTTGTGTGGACATCCTCCCTGGGAGTGATTTCCCTCTCACTGTCTCTCCAGTGAGCACATGCACCTTATGGCAAAAACCTTTTAAAAATGAACAAAAAAGCACAAAGATCCTCAGGCATCTCTCACAGGACTGGACTCCTTGGGTGTCAGGAACCACTGCACAGCATCCAGCACTCAGGAGTTACTCAGGGAAGGTCTACATTAAGCCACACATCAGAAATCTAAAATGGAGTAGCAAATGCTACAGGTGATTTCAAAACACTATCAAAGTTTTCTTCCCACACATCACCTCCTCACATGGTCCCAGACTGCCAAAGGGAAGTTCTGAAAGTTGCTCACGGCTCTAAGGGGCCGATGTGCCTGTGGTAACATGGGCCGACAAGGCTAACCAGAGCCCTCACTTGCCAGGCTGCACCTTCGTCACCTGCACATCAGTCACTGAGAAATAAATAAAAGTCAAAGTCACCTCTGGAGCCTCTCCTGTCAGAATGCCCTCGAAGGATTTCTAACATGTCCCACTATTAAACTCCTACTCCCTTTAAACCACATGGACAATCATATTTCTACTTTTTCCTCCCTTTTATTGTCTTGTCACCAGTCATTACTGAGGACACAGGAGGGCATGAGTAACAACAACTGTATATGAAGAGAGCGTACACATATCAATTCCATATTTTTCTTTCCCAAGCAAGCAAGAAGAAAGAAAACTTAGGAGCTGAGGTAGGAGATAGTGTGTGTTTGTTTTGTTTTAGTGATTTTTGCTATAGGGCGCGTGTACTTGCCAGAGAGACAGGAGCAAGAATCACCCTCCAGGGGGAATGGCCACACCATAATCCCTTCCAATCTGGTTTCCTCTCAGGATTTTGGGCACACACGTGCTCAGTGTGAGTTTGAAGCCACTGGGTCTGGAACTCGAATCACGGTCAACAATGTGCGTGAGAGTCCAGCGATGTAACCATTATGCCATCTGCTGGTCCCTTGTTTTTTGTTTTGTTTCATTTCTTTCTTTATTTGTAAGGTTTTTGCCATAGGACTTGTGCACTTGCTAGAGAAGAGACCCAGAGAGAGAGAGAGAGAGAGACAAGAAAGTGAGAAATAATACCCCGGAAGGATGGCCATTTCTCAATCCTTTCTCCTCCATTCTCCTCCTGGGATTTTGGGCAGGCGTGCGCATGTACGTACACACACCCACCCACCCATTCCTGGCATGATATTCAAGCAATCAGGTCCAGGACTCAAACCATGGTCAGGCATGTGGGAGTCCAGCACCTTACCCACCATGCCATCTGATGGCACCCGTTTTTGGCGTTTTTCAAAAACAAGGTCTTAGTACATCATAATCCTCTTGCCTCAGCCTTCTGAGTAGCTGAAACTATGGGCACACATGACAAACATCACTATTGCCCAATGTTTAGGCCGGATTTAAGAATAGAACCTGGGCCTCCCATATGGCTTCAGACTGCTGAGCAGCAGTGTCTACCAGCACACACTATTGTGACTGGGCTAGAAGATGGTTTTGATGTGGAAACTCTTTTTTTTTTTTTTTTTTTTTTAAGAATTATTTCATTTAACTTTATTTTTAATTTAGACTAGAGAGGGAAACAGAGAGAGAGAGAGAGAGAGAGAGAAAGGGAGAGAGGGAGGGAGGAAGGGAGAGAGGAAGGGAGGGAGGGAGGGAGAGAAGGAAAGTGAGAAAGTAAGCCAACAGGTCTGGGACTTGAACCATGGTGGGCCAAGTGGGAGTCTAGAGCCCTTAATCACCACACCACCTGCCAGCCCCACAGAGAAAGATTCTATCATTAGCCCTATTTTACAGATGAGAAAACAGAGAAGTTTGCCCAAGTTGTAGAACTAAACACTCAGGTCTGTATCTCCAAAGTCCATGCTCTTACATACTAATAAACACACTGAATAAAATGAAGATCAAAATGTTGGTACTGACTTCCCAGTCTGCCACTGAAATCCCCTCCAGGAACTCTAAGCTCAGGCCATAATCCCCCTCTAAGTACAACCTGGTTTTTCTAATCTTATCATTTTGGATCTGTTGTTCCCTCACACAGGCCCTACAAGAATCATACTCATCACCAAGGCCTATTCAAATGATCTTTTCCCCCGTCCCTGTTCTTACACTTCCAGTTCAGAGTAGCTGTCTCCCACAGTACTACGTTAATTCTTTCATCACATCCCTTAATTGATTTTGCTTTTTTTTTTTTCATTATATAAATATCGACTGAGCATCTACTATAGGTCAATCATGGTGCTCAGGTAAGGGGCCTATAGCAATGAACAGGCATGGTCTATATCTAACTGACTTGGAATAAGCTCCACCTAGTAAAATACCTAAATAATAAGCACTCCATGTTCTGATAAATGGAGCAGCTTAGAATTATTTGAAACTCACAAGGTATTTGAAATGAGAGGTCTCCAAAAGGCTCATGGAAAAGGCAAATATTAAAAAAAACTAAACATGGATTTCAAAAAAATTTTTATACCAAAATAAATTCATACTTTAATTCCATTTTTCTAGAAACCTTTTGAAGTCCCTCATATTATCTGATAGCCAATATGGTTCAAAATAAGAAAATGGCAACTGTTTGGATTTCACTATATTCCTCAACAATCTTAAGTTTGTCTGTTTCTAGTTTGTCCTAGAATTCGAAACTGTACCTCAGGCATATATCCAAGCAGACTTCAAGCAGACACACACTTTTAATTCTCAACGTTTTCAATATTGACAGAAAAGGGAACCAGCAGTTAGCGTAATGGCTATGTCGCTGGACTCCCACATAGTCGACTGCGGTTCGCGTCCCGGACCCGGTGGCTTAAAACTCACGCCGGGCACGTGTGCGTGTGTGCCCAAGATCCCGAGAGGAGAATGGAGGAGAAGGGATTGCGGCGTGACCATCCCCCCTGGGGAGTGATTTCTCGCTTTCTGTCTCTATGTCTCTCTCTGTCTGTCTGGCGAGCGCACGCGCCCTACAGTGAAAATCTCTCCAAAAAAAAAAAAAATATTGACAGAAAAGAAAAAAAAATGAGGTTTATTTGATGCCAATATGAGTGGCTGCAGTCTGGAGAAATGTACTCCTGAAACTTGAAAAAGTGTTCCCCATCATGGCCAGGTCACGGCAGATCTTTCATACATTTCAAGAAAACAAAAGTTACAATTACTGCTGTAGATCAACAGTGGTGTTTATCCATTGGTTTTGCCCAAGGAAGGCAGGACATCTTGAAGCAGCAGTAGGGGAGTAGGCTACAGGCCATGGCTTTAAATATTCTTTCATTTGTTACTAGCTAAAAGAGCAAGCCACTGTTAAAACTTGGAATCAGGAGAAAGGAAGGTTTAAGCTTAACTTTAACATATTGATAGAGTTTAGTAGTGATCATGTTATGCGATGCCAGAGTCAGGATATGACAAAGCTACCCACAATTACTGGGGTGAGTGATCTGTTTAGTAAGATCATTAGTAAGATTGATGACATGTAAGCATGGCTCTGCCCAGGACCTGTAGGAAAAAAACTTTAGAACAAAGAAAAATAACGAGTTCAGTCCTTATACATAGTACTTGTAAGATGCCGGGAAGTCACTTCAGAAGTTATTTCCTTCTTCATAATCTGCATGAGTCAATGTCCATCCCAAACATATGAGCATAAAAATGGCCCAGAGATCAAATGAGCTGTCAGTCTGTTGGGAAGATAGCAGACAGGGAGGAGGGCAGCTTTCCTGAAGGTTTCCAGTTGGCTGCTAAGCCACCTCTCTGAAGCAAGCTGTGAGCAGACTGTCTGATCATTCTACCAGACAGTGCACTGCAGCCTTAGAGGTTGGAAGCAAAGGACAGACTATGACTTATGTATCAGTAGGCCTTCCCTGAGCAACTTAAAAATCTCTGTGCACTGTTCAGCAGTGAAAACACTGCTCATCTCATGGAAAGAATAGTAAAAGCCTGCTTGGAAAATAACTGCAACTCCTTGGGATGAAAATGTGGCATGAACACAAACCATTGGGTTGTCAGGAAAGTCATGATGTATTTTTTTTTTTCTGTGCAGAAATACATCATGACTTTTCCGACAATCCAATTCATAAAGCATTGGGGGTTTATGGATTCACTGAAAGACTTCTATAATATTCGATTTGTACTTATTTTATACCTTTTGCCTCCTAATTGTAGGAAAGTTATTTAAAGTTATAGGGTTAAGGGTTTTCTCACCTAATTGCGGCAACTGTGTAGGAGGAAAAAATTAACTTTCAACTCTAAAGGGGATTATTACGAATGGCAAAAGAAGAAAAGGTCAGATGGCAATGTAATCAACTTTGTCAAAATCATGACTATAAATTTTCTACTTTCCAACCCAGTTTATGTGAATGATTCACATAGAAGATGGCCAACTATAAAGGTGAACCCCCACTTTTAGGACCTTATCATCTTAGTCCCTTGAAAACTCTGAACGATTTAGGTAACTGAGAATAAGCTATACACAAATCACTACTCTTTCCTATGTGAAGACTCCATGTCAAGGGAACCAGCAGTTAGCGTAATGGCTGTGTCGCTGGACTCCCACGTAGTCGACCGCGGTTCGTGTCCCGGACCCGGTGGCTTAAAACTCACGCCGGGCACGTGTGCGTGTGTGCCCAAGATCCCGAGAAGAGAATGGAGGAGAAGGGATTGCGGCGTGACCATCCCCCCTGGGGGGTGATTTCTCGCTTTCTGTCTCTATGTCTCTGTCTGGCGAGCGCACGCGCCCTATAGTGAAAAACCTCTCTCAAAAAAAAAAAAATAAAAAGACTCCATGTCAACAATAACATAAGAGCATTAGCCTTTAGCCCTGAGAAGAGCCAATCTGAATTCCAGACAAGTTTTCATCTTACCTGTTTTGGACATGAAGCTTCACGGTCCCATTCTTTCTCCTCAGCAAACCGGAACTGTGAGAAGGAGTCCCCTAGGAATAGGAAAAAAAGAAGCATACACTTCTATGCAAAAGCAAAGAAAAACACTTGGTTCTCTAAATTTCCCACAACAGTGCCATTTCCGAAGAGCTACCAGTGTCCACACCTTTACACGGAGATTTGTATATGGCAGACACTGGGAAATATCACTGGCAACTGTGTCCATTCTGTAACAGTGATGTTTAGCTTTATCTTCAGCCAAATAGGACTTAATACTTGCCCGTTTGGCCAAAACAGGTATTGAAGAGCCACGATATTTATAGTAGTAACACTGTATAAGACCATCATAAAAATTAGGTAGGTCTGTATGTACTGACACACAAAGATACCCATTATCTCAACTAATTTGTGGAAAAAGATGTTAACACCATATGAGTAAAAACACATATAAATGTATACAAGAGGACTTTGAAAAGGTTTTGGAAAAATGGAATTAGATCGTGAGTGTATTTTGGTGAAAAAAAAAAAAAAATCCAAACCAGGGAACCAACAGTTAGTATAATGGCTAAACTCCTACATAGTTGACCGCGGTTTGCGTCCCGCACCCGGTGGCTTAAAACTCAAACCGGGCGCGTGTGCCTGCGTGCCCAAGATCCCGAGAGGAGAATGGAGGAGAAGGGATTGCGGCGTGACCATCCCCCCTGGGGGGTGATTTCTCGCTTTCTGTCTCTATGTCTCTGTCTGTCTGGCGAGCGCATGCGCCCTATAGCGAAAACCTCTCCAAAAAAAAAAAAAAAAATCCAAATCCATGCATATTCTTTTCAAAATATTCATTTTCTATGAGCTTTGTGAAGACCCTCCCACACATAAATACAACATACAAACACAAAAATTTATGCATAGAAATGAGTCAAGACAGTTATATACCTATTTTATGAATGATTCGCTCTCAAAGGGTAGGAGTGCAGATGAGTTTCCTTTCTCTATAATACATTTACCAGTTGAATTTCCTTTTGTAAACAAGCATGTGTTACTTTTGGAACTGAACCAAACAGAAAAAGAGAAATCCAGAAAAAGCTAAATCTTCCTGAGGGCAGGGACTTTCTCAAAATGCATTTAAGACAAGATATGCATCTGCCTCAAAAGTTTGAGTTTTCACTTTATAGAGCTATGAACATTAGGTCTGGAGAGGCTCAATAATTTGACCAAAGCCAGATAGCCACCAGCTCATGGCTGAATACTAAGATCTTTTTGCTCCTGGCATTTATTATTATACTAATAATTTAGTTATTAAGTAATAAAGTTTTTTCCACTACTTCCACTAGGCTTCTCTCTGCCTCTGAGTTCCCAGAACAATAATAAACACTCAATAAATATTTCATGATATTTGGTGTACTAATGCTTGATACACTAACGTTTGAAGAAAATCCAAACTAAGAAGTAAAGAATTGCTCATTTTAGGAAATCACCTCAAGTTTTTTTTTTTTTTAAATAAGAGTCTCTGTCTCTAAGAGAATTTTTTTTTTTTAAATAAGAGTCTCTGTCTCTCTCTAAGAGATTTTTGCTATAGGCACATGAACTCAGATAGACAGAGAAACAGAAAGTAAAAAATCACCCCCCAAGGGGTATAGCTATACCACAATCCCTTCTCCTCCATTTGCTACTCGGGATTTGGAGTATGCACACACATGCACCAGGCATGAGTTTTGAGCCACTAGGTCTGGGACTTGAATCATGGTTGACTATGTGGATTTCCAGTGACATAACCATTATGCCATCTGCTGGTCCCAAGAGTCTCTTTTTAATAGAACCTTAAATATTCCAGTAACAATAGTGTTGATGAAATTACGGTAAATATCAACCTCATTGCTGTGTTTATAATATCCAAGATTCCTAACTTCTAAAACTAGTGCATTTCCAATGGACACTAAACTTACTAGAATTCCTCAGCACCAATGAGCTTTTTACAAAGCTTACCATCTACACAGATAACACAGCTTTGAATTTTAAGCTTATGCTTTCAGCCCCATGAGGAAAACATGACCTTTTGGACAAAATACTTGACATAACCATACAGTGGGAGTTCAGGTGGGATACAAAGACAAATCTTTATCTGGGCAAGAGAAATCTGTAGAGACTTTCCATTTGTACTAGTAAGCAAAGCAAGCTAGACAAATGAAAAGAAGCATTGTATGGCCCCACTCAATATATACCAAATGTCTGTACTCCATGGCAGAGATTGAAAGATATAAGAGCATGGAGAATGATTGTGGATATTAAAGACAATGTGGTAGGAAGGTAAGAAAAGGGAGAGGGTGAGAGGAAGGGAATCAAGGAGGGGTAAAGAAAGAAGCAAAACACTTAAGGGACACAAAAATGGAAAATTATCTGTTGATAACATGTATGATAATATCTTTAACTAGACTAATATAGAGTGTGTTCATGCTGGGAAAATTCTCTCCATTTGGACAATACAGACCAGGTATGTATGAAGAGTATGAAAGATGGAAAATCTGCATAAGCCCAGTAGTCAGTTCCGATAATCTGGTAGTGGCAATTCCCATGACTGACATCTGCTTTGGCTCTTTGGATCATTCATTCATTGACTCATTCATTTAATTTGCTATAGGTCACATGCACTAGCCAGAGGGAGATGCAGGGGTGAGAAAGCAACTCAGTAAGGGGGATGACCATGCATCAATCTCTTCTCCATTCTCCTCTCAGGATTTTGGGCACACATGCACACTCATCTGGTGTGTTTTTCAAGTTGCCAGTCTAGAACTCAACTACACAGTTGGCCAAGTGTGAGTCCAACGATGTAACCACAGGAGCCATCTTCTGGCCCTTGTTTGGCTCTTTTAATCACAAAGTTAAGCCAGTTCTTCGTGGTGCCTCCTTCAGGCAACCCACTCTAGAAAGCAGCAGGAAGTGTGTCACTAGTGCTGGGTGAATACTGCATCCTACACTCCATTGTTCTGGCTCTTCTTTATCATGACTGCTTTCATTTATTTTCCCTGCAGCCCTTAGAACATGCCCTCAACCAGAACATCAAGCCTCTGAGAGATCACAAGTAAATTTCATAGGCTGACAACAGCCAGCACAGAGAATGTGTCCCAACAGCCATCATGGTGACTTCCACAGAAATGTCCCTATTTTTCTTGAACTTCTCTATCCCTACCTATGAAAGATGACAAATTTAAAAGGTTAAAATGATCCTAAGTTCACAGGCCGACACACCCAATCCAGAGAATATTCACCATGATGGGTCTTCAGTCTACTTCAATCTACACTCCAGTTACAGAATGTAAAACTTCCTCACTTCTCCCAGTGTCTAGCTTCCATGGATGAGCCTTATTTAGATGATGTTCTTCACTTCAATATTGACCCTAAACAAGGCAATAGCTAATACTTTGTAAGACTACATAAGCTAGTAAAGTGATTATTTAAAAGGTTAAGTTGAGATAAAAGAAGAGAGAGAATAACCTTTTCTCCTGCTCAACAGTGACTTATAATGAGCTTTCTCACCAGGTGCGGGGCCCAAAAAGCCCCTGAGCATCAAATATCCACATTGAGCACTACATAATAGGATGTGCCTATATTCCCAATGCCCCTACAAAGCTGCTTCCCTGTCAGCCTGGATTACACTGAAGAGAAAGCCAATACTCTCAGGCACTGTGAAAGGGTTCTAGGCTTTATGAGAAAAGGATGATGTTGAGATTCTGGAATTTAGACTCGAAGGCCATTATCAACCTGGCACAGAACTTCAAGATAAGAGTAAATGACCTGACAAGGCTAAGTAAGTAAGAACATAAAAATCAATCATCGGATGGACAATGAAGTCGTAAGATCTTACAACTAATCTGTAGCCAGACAGCATGTCAGTTAGGATTAGATCTGGCCACATGTAACAAAGACCCAGAAAATCATAGCTTAAATGAGATAAAAGGTTGATATCTTTATCAATTAAAGGAAGTCCAGACTTAGGCAGACAAAGGTTGGATTGGTGGCCAAGGCTCCTCCCAGTTCACTATTCAGAGCGAGCGGAGCTCCTTCTCATCATAATGCAAGATGGGGACCAGAGTTCTTAACTCATCACAATTCTAAACAGCAAGATAAAAGAAGAATTGAGGAAAAGGGGTAAATGGCATATACTATGACAGAGCAGTTCCCCTTATTTGTCCTTTGGCCAGAACTGTATCATATAGTTCTATCAGTCATAAGGTACAAAAGATAATTCATTTTTTTCTAGGTGGCCATGTACCCAGATAAAACTCAGGGGGTTCTATTACCAAGGGGAAAAAGAGAATGAACATGGAGTGGAGGGAGGGGAGTTGATCAAGATGGCTGATTGAGGGGAATGTTCCTCTCCACAAAGAAGAAACAAAATAAATAGATGCATGTCAAGTAAAGTGTCTAAAGGATAACACTGGAATTCAGCAGGGAGATGACTGAGGGCTTTGAAGCAAGAAGCCTCAAGATGTTGGCATACATAGTGGAGGGAGTGAAAGACCTGGCCATAGATTGACCTGGAGAAGGAGAGATCTCCAGTTACTGAGAAAGAAACAAGAGATGCCCAGCGGTTCCCGCTACCACCACGGACAACAGTCCTGATTGCAGGAGGACCCCAGAAACCCTGAGCCCAGTGCAGGGAATTTCCTTAAGTCCACCAAGATTGACCCCAAGGAAGAAACATGTGCAGGGGCATTCCTACTCCTGATGGCCACTACAGTACAGCACCATTTTGAAAGAGGAACCACCACTAGACTGGAACCTTCTGGAGGGCCAACATCCCTTGCATCTCTACATCCCTGAAGCTCCTCCAACATTCCATCATGTCCTCACAGGCAGCTGCAGAGCTGCTACCCAAGCTAGACTCAGCAGTATGGTCATAACCCTGGTACAAGGGCCCACACAGCTCCATACATCTGAAAACACAGATGGTCCAGTGCCATGAGGAAGCTGCCCCCACCCCCCGGCCAGTGAACTAATGTGCATACTGCTTGGTTCCCTGCCCCAACAGGGCTGCTAGAACTCGTGCACACTCTCCAGTGAC